GCTACAAGATGGGGAAGTCATGTTACTTCGTTAAAAAGTTTGAAAGCAAATAAGATAGCTTATTATTTATTATTAATTAACAGTTAGAGAAGATGTGGTAATTTCAAGAGATATTAAAGATTTAATTCTAAGTGATGATTTCTGGACGAAGACAGGGGAATGTATAAGTATTTTGGAACCAGTCACTGAAAGCATATTTTACTTAGAGAGCGACCAGAATCGTTTGCATCGCACATACATTACATTTAGAGATGTACAAGCTAAGATACGTTTTGCATTAAATGAGATTTCGACATTGAGCGAAGAAAGCAAACAGCAGATTCTAACATCAGTATCTTCAAGATGCAATATGGCAATGAGGCCAATACATTTTGCAGCATATATTCTAGACCCCAGGACTCTAGGAGTCGAACTTACTCAAGAGGAAGAACTTAAGGGTATGGAGTTTATCTACAATTTAAGCCAACACTTAAGTTTGTCAAATGTAATGGCAGATTTGGCGTGTTATAAAGCTAAAGAAAACTTTTGGGCCAGAGGATTTGTATGGAGCTCATTAGATAGCATTGAGCCCCTAATATGGTGGAAAGGTATTTGTGGTTCCACTGAGTTAAGCAAAGTAGCGATTCGTATTCTATCAGCTCCCTGTACTTCGGCAGCCACTGAGCGTTCCTTTAGTATCCAAGGCTACATACATAATAACAAAAGAAATCGACTTACAACTGAAAGAACTGAAAAAATTTCATTCATTTGTTATAACTGGAATCTTAAACATAAAGCTGAATGCGAGGACATTCAGTTTAATGAAGAAAATACCTTAGAAGCTTTCATTGAGCAAGTAAATGAACATAACAGTTTAGACGAAATAGAGCCTATCGAACCTATACAATTCATCGCTTGTAATAACTCTGAATCTGACAGTGATTGACTGTAGTTTTACATTTTACTTTCATCTCTTTCTTAATAAACTCAAAATCAAATTAAAAGTTTTTTATTCTGTAGGCTGCATAATAATATTGTCTATGTCCAGTATAGTGGACGTCTTGCGGCTGAGATGACGATGATGAAGTACAAAATCATAAACACCCAAAAATTTGGGTGTTTATGGGGTTTAAACCCAATAAACCCAAAACACCCGGTTTTTACCCACCAGACTTTAAACCCACCCAGGTGGATTGCCCATCTCTACTCGCGTGTAGGCAGGTACGTATCGTACAATGTACCTACATTGGACGTTGCTCTGATACAAAATGACAGTATGAAATGATTGCTCAATTCGTTGGCAACAACAAGAACTTTATTTTTTTCACGCAAAAGAGATGCTGGCAAAGAGCGGCAAGCAACCGACATAAGCTCAAGCTAAATCCAGCATCTCAGGAAGAAAACTACCAATTACATTTATATATATATATATATATATATATATATATATATATATATATATTGGAATTTAAAGGTAAGACAAAAAGAATAAACTAATGGGAAATTGTAGGTTATGTTAAAATCGAATATCGACATGAACGATTTTTTTAACGATTTAAACAGCTGAATCGACTTTAATGAAATTTGATATACGGGCAATTTACGTAATCTATACCTAACCTAATACGTAAGAAGACTGTTAGTAATGCGGACTACCAGTCCCATTGCTAGCAATATATCCTGTCAGGTCGACCTCCAGGCGGTCCCATCTGGAAACCATCGTGCTAAATCCCAAGTATACTCATAACAACTGACTGCCTTTTCAATCTCACCTATCATCCCTCACTGGTGCCCCGCCAACGTATACCGATAGCGCAGGCGGGGTTACCATTCCATTATCATCCAATAAAAAAACCTAACATAGACTATTTTATACATTTTAATTTTTAACTCAGGCAAAGCCGCGAGAAACAGCCTGCGTAATAATATATTGAACTAGGTGTATCAAAACAAGTGAAATACGTAATACATATAATTCTAACATCAAAATTCATTACAGATACGTAGATAAATAGGTATTTAATAAATTTGGCAGGCTGATATTTTTCTTTTCCGCTTTTAAAGATGGAACGATGTTTTTTTATTTGTCGACCTTGAATAGGTACCTATTCTTGTTCCAAGTTCAATGATTTCCCGCCAAAACGTGCCGTCTTTTTTTTTTATTTGAACCATAAAGTAAGTGAGGAAAACAAAACAAACGTGTTATTATTATTTTATTTCAATTAAATTAACATCAAATGTGGGTTAGAGATCTACGTTATAGTTTATATTAATAGACTTTCTAATATAAACGACGCCAACGCGCAAATACCTACTGTTCTTGCATTTATTATGTTGCAATACTTGCATGCAACGTGCGTCTTTTGCTTCTATGAATAAAATTTATAACAATTATAGTTAAAATAAATAACTACCTACATATTCTGTTTATATAAGAACACTTGAAACTGTGACTCAGTCGGACAATGCTTGACTGCAGTCAATCCATAGACATTTGATTTAATTTTTTTAAAGTTTGATCATTTAAAAAAAATCTGAGGTCAGAAGGGAAAAAATGTTGGGACACTCGATAGGACACGACGAACTTATGAATGTTATAATAGAAGGTAAGATAGAAGGAAGAAGGGGAAGAGGGAGACCGAGACATAGTTACATCAGGCAGAACAAGGAAGGAGTTGGTGTCGTGTCGTATCAAGAGGTGAAGAGACTTGCTGAAAATCGTAGCCCAGCTTTTAAATAGGAAAGATAGATAGAAAAAAAATGTTGTAACTTGTCATATTTTGGGACACATATAATCCAGCTTAAGGAAGGTACCTGGGGTCCCTTAAATAATGAAGTATAAGTATATCTATGTGCAGTCTAAATATATACGGCACACAACGATAGTAATAGAATGAGACACCATTATAAGCAAAACGCAGAAGTGCGAGCTAGATAGGAAATATTTTTGTCTTGCTTTGTCACACACACACTTTTATTTTTAAATCACACCAATTTTTTGCCAATCAAAAGTTAAAGGATAAATAGTTATTATACACAATTTTAATATTCAATTAGAATTAATTCACATAAATTAAAAATTATTTGTACTTTATATTAAAGTATTGAAAATATAGTAAAATTTTTAATATACTATCTATTTTTTTTTAATGGGACCAGCATTACTAACCCCCCCCCCCCCCCAGTACAGTCATAGAGATTAAACATTGATGATTTTATTTAAAAAAAAAAAAGGTACAGAGTAATTTATATAAGAAACTTTTTATTGGCATGTCCAATATGCTTCAAATGTTTGTAAAAATATGGTTTATGAATTACATCATAAATATACATAAATAAAATATAAATATATACACATTTCTTATTACAAACTACTCAAAAGGGATTGGGTTTCTTTTTGTAACTATTATCTCTACCTACATCAACAACTAGAATTGTTAAACAAAATCAATATAAACACAAGCAAAGCTGTGGATAAAAGCTAGCGATTTGTATAAGGGGTGCTGTTTTACCCTGTTTTTGTTATTTAGAACAGACGACAGAACTCCTAAAGAATTAGAACAAAAATTGAAAAATTTAAATGAATAGGGATTTTAAATTATCTCATAGAATACTTTTACATGAGAAATAGTAATAAATATATCTGGCTTAATACCAGATCCTTTATGAAGTAAACAGAGAAAACATATTAATACTCCATCTACTTTCTTACTTCAACTACAAGAAACTCTTGTCTTCTCCTTTAAATATTAAACAGTTAAAAAATATAAAAAAAAGTTATAATCTTAGTCCTCTGTCAAATCATAAGGTGTAGCTCTTTTAATATGTCTATGGTGTTTAAGTCGTCATGTATGGGATTTAAATATTAAAAATGGGTTTTTTTGTCTATGATGTTTATTTTTTTATTTAGTACATTCGTTCCTCAGAGGAACAGGCTAAGGTGAGAGACCATGCTGCTAAATCTTAAATTTAAAAAGTTTGTCTGAAATTTTATATTCTCAAATAATATGTGGAACTGTCATCTTTAAATCATTAAATGACTAATGTACAATAGAAGATAATGTTCATATCTATGAGTGACAGTTACACTTTTTTTCCTGTCTTCATGGCACATTCAGGCATACACCAGACAAAACAAAAGTTATCACTCTCCATGTAAGCTTGAAATGACAATAAGCTTATTGTCATTTCAAGTTGTATTATAAAAAAAAAACTAGATATCATAAAATAAATACTCATTTAAAAACCATTTCTTTTAGTTCTAAGATTTTTAGTATTCTAAAAGTAGCCAGTATTTCCATAGTAACACTCATATTAGAAAAAAAAATGTGTATTAGAAAATAATAAAAAAAAATACATATATACAAAAATGCAAAAAAGAATCCTATCAAGAGGAAATATGGGAATATGTCTCAGATAAAATATAATATAAAAAAAATCCTACTTTCTATTACAAATGTGAAAGTTTATACAAATGTTTAGTTATTCAAAAAAAATTATAACTTATATGAACAAAGTTAACATCAGAAGATAATTAAAGTTTTTAAAATCAAATTTGTGATCAGAAATAGTAAGTTAAATCAAAGTACACAAAAATATGATAAGATGTTAATTATCTAGGTAAGTACTTATTTATTCTTTAGCATTATAATTCTAAATGCAATAAAAAAAAAATTAAAATGTAGAACCTAAGTATACCTATTGTATGTAATCGATTTTTATTTATACAAAGAATGTGTAAATGTTTAAATATACCTAAGCAAATGTGATTGGATTGTTCAATAATTTATTTTCCATAACTAGGCAAAGGTACCAAAAGCGTAATGCCATAATTTTAATATAAACATAAATGGCTTCGTTGCTATATCAGCATGACAGATGCCTATTTATCTCACTAACCACTCGCTCGCATAAATAGATAATGGTATAAAGGTGACTGTGATAAAGTTCCTAGTTAACCTCAAAGAGGTAAGTACAAAATCGAAACTAATTGAAGGTTAAACGGAAAATTGGGTTATTACATTATTGTGTGTTTAAAGACAGCCACAGTGTTGAAGTTCTTACGTTCCGCTCCGTTTGCAAGCCTCACAATAACGGAAGAAACACTAAAAACAAGTAAAATCACTCGGGGAAAACTTGATGTAACACTTATGTACTTGACAGTACGATTTTTACACAAAATGTTGCAATTCACTGCAATCCACTAAGTAATCCAGTTTCATGTGCAGCTAGACACAAATATTACACTATAAAATTGTACTTTTTTTATAATTTTTAACCTCAAATAAGCAAATAACAAGAATACTCAAGTGCGATAACAATTTGCGACTGACTTCCGATCGAACTGGTGAAGTCGTCAAAAAGAACACGTCATTCTGACAAATAGATAAGGACGGCGCTATAGAATAGAAAAGGAGAGCCTATCTGTAAATAAATGTTGTGAAGTTACTTCCATGGCTAGCTTATCAAAAATAGATTATACATAAAATTACTCGCAATTCTCTGGTAAGTAATCATTATATTATTGGATCGTAATTATGATAATTAAAAGGGAATTGGCTATAAATCAATAATAATGATTTGGAAAATTTTATAAACTATCTACAGTACAGCCATCTCTCGTTGAATAGCAGAATTTTTAAGTCTAAAAATTTCTGTCTGCTAAAGTTGGCTTGAGAATGTTGTACAGCACATAGGTGGCGTTATACTTCGTGCGTCATTATTTTCTTGATATCAACAACGGTATTATTTTTTTTTATATAACTGTAATCACATCGTATGTACATATTAATATATGCGAACGTGTTTACAATAAAGATTTATGATGAACATTATAAATATCGCACTACACACAATAAACTGGCTTCCATGATTTCAACCGACTTGAAGGGACGTGGGGGGGGGGGGGGGGGAGTACTGTTTTTTTTATAGGTGAAAATGGTATGGTAACCCCGCCTGCGCTAACGGGATACGCCGGCGGAGCACCAGTGAAGGGTGATAGGTGAGAATGAAAACAGGCCAGTTAGCCCATCATGATGAATTCATGATAGGCAACAATGATAGTTTCCAGGGAGAACCGCGAGGAGGTCGACCTGTTTGGGTATACTGCTAGCAATGGGATTCTCAATCTCCATTACTAACAATCCCTTACCCTCTGGGAGAGTACTGTTAATAATGTGGACAACCAGTCCTATTGTTAGCAATATGCTTTATCGGGTCGACCTCCACATGATTCCCCATAGAAACCATTATGCTAATATTATGATTCACGATGAGCTAACTAATCTGCATTTTCATCCTCACCTATCATCCCTCACTGGTGCTCCGCCAACGTATACCATTAGCGCAGGCGGGGTCAAAATTCCATTGTCTCGTATTAAAAAAAAAATTCGACTAGCGTTCCCATTACTAACAATCCCTTTCGCAGGATGAAGACATTTGGCACTATTTTAACCAAAGGGAAACTATGTACAAAAGTCGTTTACTTGGGCACCTCTGTCCCATTCGTGTTTCCACCGTGAAACAGTTGTGTTTGCATGGCTGTGTTTCAGTTTGAAGGGTGGGATATGGCAATGAATTTACAGGGTACAGAGAATCAACACCCGAGTCCTCAGGAATGGCAACGCATGGGGGGTATCATGGGCGAAACAGTATACTCTGTTATGTCCATGGTACTGCTCCGGCGACGACTATAGGCGACAGTTACCACTTTCCATCAATTGGACCATTCTAAATTGCATAAAAAAAGAACTAGATTCTCTGTTTACCCCGCATATGATGATAAGTACCTTTAAAATAAATATATTTTTATATTTTAAATACAATATAGATTTTTTTGTAGTGAAATATCATTTACATAACAGTTTCTTTATTGCCGATGTTTAAAATTAAACATATTTTCATTACGTATTTAATAGCGAGTTATCTCCGCGAATCACGTTGTTTTTCTATGACTCTCCCGTTAGGTATCTATACGTACTTATTTAAAAATATTACAAAAGTTTAGTACAGTTTTGGACCACACACATTTAGACGGAGCATTTTGTATTTGCGTGTAAAAATAACGACTCAAAAGACGAGCAGTTAACGCCGACAGAATTTTTATTCCGTACAAAAAATGTGTTTTTTTTTTTTAATTATATTATTTAACTTCAACTACGCACGTTTTTTTTTTTTTAATAGTGCCACTCTTAGTAGTAAATTGAATGCAATTTTCAAAATCTATTATTAATAATGAACTACATTTTTTTAATTAATTCACCAGAGGGAGACTTTGTACAAAAGTCGATTGCTTGGTAACCTCTGTCCCATTCGTGTTTCTACCGTGAAGCAGTTGTGTTTGCATGGCTGTGTTTCGGTTTGAAGGGTGGGATATAGCATGAATTTACTGGCAATAGAACTCAGGAACTCAGGAATGGCAACGCGTGGGGGGTATCATGGGCGAAACAGTATACTCTGTTATGTCCACGGTACTGCTCATGTCTATAGGCGACGGTTACTACTTCCCGTCAGGTGGGCCGTCAGCTTATTTGCCATTCTAAGTTGTATAAAAAAAACTGAAGTAGTTTAGTTTTTAAGACAAAATAACTGGTTTTTTTGTCACAACTGAAGTCTGTTGTGGGGCACAATTTTTAATTATATTTTATTGCAGTCAGTTAAAAAAAGGTTAACAAATGAGCTCCCTTTCGAAGTTTTTCCAAGAGACTACAGCATGTGGTTCAAAAAAGAGGTAAAGAGGTCTATTCCGGGTCGGTAACGCGCGCGTAATGCCCCTGACGCAGGCGTTCATAGGCTACGGTAGCTGCTTGTCATCACGTGGGCTAAATGCTTGCCATTAAAAAAATTACTCCCCAAATCTAGTCGATTTAAAAGAGTTTCATACATAAATAGGTCTATTAACTCCTTACCGAGATCTAGATTACAGATAATAGACTGATAATGCTTTAATGATTCATTGATATCGGTAAAAAATTATATTATTGTTTTTTATTTAAAAAAAAAATCCAGTGGCGTAACTAACCATCTGAGACTCGTGACAAATTCTTTAAATAAAATCCTGCTATAATAATTAAATAATAGCAATAATTAATAATCACTATATAGTATAAAACAAAGTCGCTGTCGCTGTCTGTCCGTCCCTATGTATGCTTAAATCTTTAAAATTACGCAACTTTTTTTTGAAGCGGTTTTTTTTATACATTTTTTTTTTTTACAACACAGGGGGCAAACGAGCATGCGGCTCACCTGATGGTAAGTGACTACCGCCGCCCATGATCACCCACAACACCAGCGGCATTGCAGGTGTGCTGCCGGCCTTTTAAAAAGGAATATACTCTTTTCTTGAAGGTTATGTTGTCGTATCGGTTCGGAAACATAGAGTGATTCGAGAGGAAGAGAAGGAAGGAACCTCACAACACCGTCAGTTGTAAACCGATTCGGATTTTTTTTTTTATCTAAAAGGTTATACTTACAGTTTTGTTTTAATGCATGGTAATGGAATGGTAACCCCGCCTGCGATAACGGTATACGCTGGCGGGGCACCAGTGAGGGATGATAGGTGAGAATAAAAAGGCAGGTCAGTTAGCCCATCGTAACGAAAACACCTGGAATTCAGCAAGATGGTTTCCAGGCGGGACCACGTGGTCGACCTGACACGATATATTGCTAGCAATGGGACTGATAGACCGCATTATTAACAATTCCTTTCCCCGATATCCTTACAGTTTGGTCCCATATAGACTATCAAAATCGATTCAGTTTAGTTTTTTAATCAAAAAGCTTTGCCACAATTGAAGGCAGGTTTTTTTTTTGTGAAACTCGATTTAATTTGAATTATTATGAATAAGTCTCTAGATAAAGAATATCGGTCGTCGATTATATAGATAAATCTGGAACGTGAGTTTTTCACAAATTTTATCGTATCGTATATTTTTTTTTTATAATTTTATTTATCGCGTTATCTATGATTTGATTGGTCTATGGACGCATCGCACTATGTGGCGGTTCCATTATGGTATCTATAATCCTACTACTTTATTGTTATCTGGCAACACTTAATATATTTTTAAATTTGTTATATTATTATTATTATATCAGCCGCTAATTGCCCACTGCTGATGATTTATGATGATAGATAAGATAGATAGATAATTTATTTACACTACTTACAGCACACAAATTACAATAAAAAAATAACATACACATAATACACAGTAAAAGAGATAAAAGAATGAAAATAAAAAAGCACAAATAAAAAAAAACACAAAATATATAAACTAACAATCTCCTTTCTTTCCCTTCCTTCATGCGTGTGCTTCATGGTCACAACTCAGTTTATTGCTTTGTCCTTAAAAGAGCAAAACACTGATATTCTGTTGTGGCCATCTATTGGACATCTGTGTTGATGACAGTCTATCAGGGAAGCCTATGTTCAGATATGACGATAACCGTGTTTGCCGTGCGGTCCCGGCATAGAATGGGCTACTCCTTTACCGTGGGTGTTGTAAGAGACGGCTAAGGAAACATAATGGTCGAGGGATGAGCAGCAGCGTCCCTCTTAAAACATCGCCAAAGACTAACTCGTCCGCCAAGCGTGGCAACTAGTGATATTGTAGTAATATGGCGGCGGGTTAAAAACCTTTTTTTGTAACATTAAATGCAATATCTATTTATTTAAATATTTTATTCTTTTTACTTTCTATTATAACTATGTTTCCCGAGTCGCAGCGCAGCAGAGAGAGAGACCATAGAGTAGATTACAAAGAATAGTATAATAACCACAGATTATTACATCTCTGTTTCACATATATTATATTAGATATTTAACAACTAGTGGTAAATCCCCCCTCCCCCTTATGGGGAAGGTCTATGTTCAGCAATGGACAGTTAACGACTGATATGATGATGATGATGATGATGATGATTTTATTTTATTTAAATGTATCTATTTAAAACATATAAATTACAATAATATTATTTCTCCTATACAATTGCGAGTAGTTGAACAAATATAAATCAGATAGCATTATTAATAACTAACTCTAAATCGATAGGGGATATTAAAAAAAAACTCACCTGATGATAATACTTCTTAGCGACCGCAGCCATGAATTCAGGATCTGGACTCAGACTCCGCATCGTAGGTAATACTTCGTCAGCCATCTTGTTACTGTTGTGCTTTTAGATTTACCAGAAATTCTCTATTTATGTCACACTATTTATAGTTTTTTAATTTATCAGAAACTTTCCCAACAGTTCCTTAGTTAACAGGAAAAAAAAGAAAAAAAAACTGTCAACAAAAGTAGGCACTTCACTATGCTACGTTTATTTCAAT